ATCCCCCATCATTCACTTTGTTTGACAAAGGGGCTAATCCTGTCACTATGATCACCCACTCAGATGAATTCTCGGATTGTCCCAACATACCTAGGTTTTGACCCCCTCTAAAAATCCTACTGATTGGCATATCAAAGACAACCCAATCCGACACCTAGTGCAGTATCATAATCGAGTCTAGGGGTTAGGTGTAACATTCTAGTTTTGCCCATCTATCTCCAAGGTCCAAGGCAATACTGGAATTCTGGTCCGGTTCAAGGTTTCAAGAAAACCCACACTACATCTACCATATGTCTCACCTTGGTAGTTGAGACAATCCACCCCAACCAACTTGGCAGCACATCAGTGTTAGCCTTGGCAGGATAAATCTCCCCAGATCTATCCAATGGCTATGAAAATTCTAAACTAACACGAGTCTCATATGTGTCCAGTTTAAGGGTATTACACAGAAACACACCATAATAACATGAATCAAATATGTATTTTATTCATTTACATTAAATGTCATAAGGTATATCATTTTGATTGGAGCTAAGGGCATACACTATCTAACAATATCACCCTGAGCTCTTTGACTCTCTCTTTTCCTTGCAAAAACCTTGCCTCCTCTTGAGCTGTTCCCAAGTCCCTTGCTGAGACATTTTTACCTTCATCACCACTAATTTTTAGAACTTAATTGAACCGACCGATGAACTAGTTCATGATGTTACCACTTGGACTGGTTGGTTGATTTAGTTCTCTAAACTTTACAACTTCCCCTTAGTGGCCTAGATACCCAAACTACAAATGAAGACCCATAGTCATAAATTTGATAACTTACGGGATCATCTTTATCATATAATAATATTGATTAACTACTTGTCCTCACTTCAAGACGATCAACCAACTAGTCCTTATAATACTAGTAAGTATGCACATGCATGTGATAATTTTAGACGACGGCAATGATGATGACGTGTCCATATTTTTGTATACAAAATTTATGTTTTTTTTTTATTCAATTATAACATCATGAATTGACCCATTTGACTCAGATGGGTGAATTGCTTACCCACCATTTGGACCAAATAAGGTTTCTTTTTGGGTCAATTAGAAAAAACATGGGTTTTTTTATTGTTAAAAATTTTGGATATAAATCTAATTAATATAATTTATTGATGAGAAAAAATACATTAAATATAAGATATAATGAGAGAAAAGTGAAAGTTAATATCTTAAATTTAAGACTTAATAAGAGAGAATTGAATGGGGTGAAAAGTAGTTGTCAAAAATTTAAATTACACTTTTACCCCCACATTTAAATAATGACTAAATTCGAAAATGGGCATTTTAGTCAAAAGAAAGTCTCATAAGCTAATTCATACTTTCAATAGTAGTGTATGTATTCAATTTTTTCTTTTACAATTTTCATAACACTTATTTTTTGCTTATATGACATATATAGAATACTAGACATGTGCCCAAATGTTTTCTACAAAATTTATGCATCTTTTATTTTTGTCTTTAGGTTTTATCTTTTAATATTTTTTTATTATTTAATTATGACACATATGTTAATACATTTGAACCAAAAGTTGAACTATTGACTCGTCACTAAATAGAAAAACATTTTCATTTTTGGCCTGTTTTAAATTTTGTATCTCATTTTCATCGTTAGTAAAATAAATTATTGTTTATCAAACATATATATATTTTTTAATTTGATTAATGTAAAATATCATAAAGCATGCCTAATTTTTCTACATTTTTCTGTAGCTTGCTATATTTATTTCTATTTTAAAAATTTTATTATTGAACTATGATATTGCGAGTGTTGATTGATTTGATTTAGATGGTTGAATTTCTTAGTTACCATTTGGATGGAATAATGGTTTTGTTTTGGGCAAATTTCTTAAACTACCCTTAAGGCTTAGCGAATTGACTAACTCTACCCTTGTTGTTTACATATTGATTTAAAGTACTCTTGTTGTTTATGACAATTGTCTTAAACCTCCCCTACCGTTAATTCTCCATCATAAATCATTCACATGTAACATCATGTGACTGATATATTTTTCAAAAAACCCTAAAATACCCTTTTGTCACATAGAAGAATCCAAACATTTGGAAGCCTTTACTAGAACCAGAGTGTGAAGAGACGAAGTCATAGAAGACGAGCAGCGACATGACGGAGATGAAATTGGCAATGAATACATGAAGAGGGAATCTTCAAAGTTGGAAGTTGTTTGTGGTGGTCCAAAGGAAGAACTTATACTTCAAGGCGTAAGGTTTGCATTTTGGGTACTTTAGTTCGCCAGAGGTTTGTGCACATTCTAGGAGTTAAGAGACAAAACTAGATTGAAAACCAGCAACAACAAAAGCGTGGGTCTGCATATGAACTCCTTCAACAGAATCAAGGGACCACCACTCAATTGTGCATCAATCGAGACCTCGCTGTAGAAATCCATGATCCCTAGAGTTGCCTACCTCTGCTCTCTGCAGTTATCTTGGGAGACTCGAATAAGCTCCTTGTCATCTAAAATGATACAGGTGAAAATGGGTTCACGGCCAAGTAACGATCTGGGGTTCACCCCCACCCCAACAATAGGATTAAACAAAGAATTTACAGATCGCGAATCTAATTTAGTATTGGCAAAACAAACAAGCAGAATACCAAAGAGATGCTTCAGTTTTACAATGCAAATTTCTCAAATTTGGATGCTTAGGTGAGAGAGTGCATAACAATGAACATGTTATATTAGATACCAACAATAGGACGAATGTGGCAAGTACGGTGAGAGAGCGAAGAACCCAACAATAGGACAAACCAAAGTTCATCAGATTATGCACGGTTGTGCGTCAAACACGGTGATGTATGAAAGACACTCCGTGCTCTAATTTTTATAGCAGATTTTGCATCTTCTTGAGTGCCAGACTGTAGGGCTGGTGACTGTTGTTGCGGAAGGACGCTTCGAGCTTCTTGAGATCACAGTAATCAAACACAACCTATCACAATGCTCAGCTTATCGAAGTGTTTCAGGACTGCCCTTTCATCCACCAGGTAAGAAAGCTCGTCGTCAAGCCACTCGACGAATGGGCACTCGTCACACCAACCTCGCAATGCCTCCAAGCTGCACACAGATGTTTTCAATATGGTGGAATAGAGACCAGATTGCTCCTCACATAGGGCGCCTCGCACCGACTTCTCACACACATTCTACCATGTATTGGGAATATCTCCCCTACTTATAACTTATAAGTTATTATTCTTGGGAGATGTTCCCAATGCATGATGGATGTATCTGTGAGCATGGTTTTCAAAATCGGACTGGAAAAATCGGGAACCCGTCGTTTGATTGGTTCCGTTTTTCCCAAAAATCGAATTCCCCCCAAAATCGTTCGAACGGTTTTGACTATTTTTATTTTTTTGATTTTTTTTTTTATTTTTCTGTCAAAATGGTTTGAACGTTCAGTTCGAACGATCAGGCCATTCGACTCGGTAACTAAACCCCTGACCAGATGTTTTCCCATACATGACTGGGATGTGCTGTAGGACATTGTGGGGCGCCCTCAGGGCTGATGTGAACGATGAAGTTTGCTACGTGAGGAGCAAACCCCAATTCACATGAGGAATTGAGACGGGATTTGCTCCTCACGAATGGGTGCCTCACATGCACATCGACTGTGCATTGGGAACATCTCCCGTGAATAATAACTTATAAATAAGGGAGATGCTCCCAATGTACAGTACGATGTGCATGTGAGGCGCAAGTGAGACGCCCTGTGTTAGGAGCAGATCCGGTCTCTCAGGAATTGATGAGATAGTTCCGGATGTACGGCAATGGGTTGTTGGCACTGTAAGTTGGTAGCTGTGGTCTGTTAATAAAACGGGACCGCGGATATACTGCACGCACGCTACGAACAGCACAGCACTACAGCCGCATATCGGGAACATCACAGATCCGGATTCATTTGAGGCACCCCGGGCTCCTTTTGTGCGAGTTGCGGAAGACAATTGAAGTTTTCCATAAACTAGCGGAAAGAAAGAGAGAACCGGAAAGAGAGAGTCATTCCCGTCATCGCGCGTTATTCCGTCGACGTTTAGGCCCGTTGGAGTGAAGATGAAGACCACAAAGGGGGGGAAGGTCATGAACCCTACCGACGCCTATAGGAAGGAACTTCGCAAGAAGGAGCTGAAGAGGGTAAACGTTTGCAATTTTTGATTGTTTTCCTAGGGTTTCCCATTTAAACTCGCTATTCTTTCTTATGAAACGAATTCTGTGATCTTTTCTGGAATTACAAATGATTAGTGCAAGGAACCCTCGCCTGTCAATTGTTATATGCGTCATCGTGTTTGATAGATTGCCAATCAGAGGGATGCTGCTGTTTTTTATTGATTATAATATCTACTAGAGAACTGGACTTTCTCTTAGGGTTAATCATTTATGTTCAAAAAAGTTCAATAATTTTCGTTTAATGAGATCTATTTTCATCTTCAATCTCAAAGCATAAAATTGATAATTCCCGAACTACTTGCCCATGTCATTGCTTTTGTTTTTTGTTTTTCTTTTAAATTCTGCTCTCCCTTTTAGCTGGAGGGGGAGGGGTGAGGTCGGGGAATCCACCATCTTTAGTATTCATTTATTTATTTTTCAGTAGCCGGTTAAGCGACGAATTTTGTTTGGAACTTATTTGAAACATTTCATCTCATCAAATAACTTTTATACGGTTCATTTGCATTTCACATATCATGTTAATGGCCATTGTTTAATTTTGATGCAAATAGTGAATTGTTTAGTTCATCATTATTGGTAGTTTTTTTTTTCTTATTAATGTTACTATTAGTTTTGGGTGCCCTTGAAAGTTGAAACATTACATGTGCATTCTGCTTTATGTAATTAAGCTACAAAAAGAGTATTTTGAACTTCATATCGGCACAACTTACACCCCTCACGTAATTATTTCAGCATTTTTTCCTGGATTAATATGTGGCAGAAATGCATATGCTGACATGGATGAGAGGAAAACTAGAAAGGATAGGGTCAGATATGAAGTTACTCAAAGGAACCTAGGAGTAGCTTCAATAGGTAATGAGAGAAAGCAGATTTGGATGGTTCAGTTGTGTGCATAGAAGACCACCTACAGCACCAATAAAAAAGAAATCAGTTACAGGTTGAAGGGGCTAGAAAGGCTAGGGGCGGACCAAAAAGAAATGTTTTGAAGTAGTAAGAAATGATTTATGCGCTCATAGTTTAACAATGGATGTGACTTTGATCAGCTTGGAATGTTGAAAGAGAGTTCATGTAGCCGATCCCATATAGATGGGATAAGGTTTAAATGATGATGGTGATGATGGTTCACTGCATGCTTCAATACATATTCACTAACCAGATGCTTGTCAGTTTTTTAGAGTAATTTGTTTATTTGATTTCTTACAACAGAACAAAAAAGAAAGAAAGAAGGTCAGGGAAGTTGGAATCTTGAAGAAGGACCCTGAAACAATCAGAGAACAGATCGAGAAGTTGGAGATGATGAGTATGTTCCCAATTCCCAATATCTTTCTACTGTTTGTTTTATTTTTGGTTATTGCATGATAGTTTGCTTTGAAGGTAACATTTTTTTTTCTTTTACCCCCTGCTAAATATTCATGAATTTTTTTGGTCTTGCTATTCCATAACAATATAATAGCATAACTGAACCTTTCAATAATCATTTTTTTTTATTTTCTTTTCATAGGAGCAAGAATGGAAAGGAACAATAGTCACTTCTTTACAATTTACAATGTTACTCACTTGACACTTTTTTCATGTATTCAAATACTGGATAGAACCGCAATATTAGCTGCTTCTTGAGGAGTGTCAAATACACCAGAAAGATGCTAACACATACTAAAGGTGCATGCTTGGCATATACATGATTATATGCTTACATATACAGAAGATGGTTATACATTTACATGTGTAGAAGATGCAGAAAGTGCATGTGCTTGTGATCAAGCAGTCATTGGAAGGAAATTCTTGAACTATAAGAAAATGTGTTTTTCTTTTAAATATTTGGTGCTAACTTATTAACAGCATATTCTCATAATCTGGACATCCATATGTTTTAGGCTTTCTTTGTAAAGAAGATTTCTTTGACCGGAGAACTTTGTCTAATCAATAGTACTGGTTTGTATTGTCAATTGATGCAGAAGCAGATGGTGCTCTAGACAAGGCAAGGAAGCACAAGAAAAGGCAACTCGAGGACACATTGAAGCTTGTTTTGAAAAAGAGGAAGGTAATGTGGAAATTTATGCATCGATTGCTGATTCCATTTAGTTTAAAGGAAGTGTGATGCTTTTCATGTTTGAATAGTGGTTGTATGATCTCTACCATGAACAATTACGGGATTGAGCACAACCTCTTGTGCAAAATTCATTCCCATTTTCTTTTTTACTTTGTTAACAAAATCAAAGGAATTTAATCATTTGAAAGAAGGAAGGCAATCCCCCTTTCTTGATAAATAAGGAAGACAACACTTAAAAGCTTGCTTTGTTTTTGGAGGGGAAGAACCCCAAGGGCTAGGATTGACTATATCATGAAAGTTAAATAGAGAACAACACAATACCATGCTACCCTTAGGAGGACAACACAATACCATGAAAGTTAAATAGAGAACAACACGATATTCCTATAGCCGTTTCTTCATTTTGTTTTGTTTAAGTGCTATATTATCAATCCCACATTAGGGGCCATTTCTTGGTGCACTGCTAAAATCTTAGTTTGATAGGTGTGAGAATGAGGGTTTGAGTATGACATTAACTACTTCATGTAAAAATGTTGGAGGTTAGGCCCATATCTAGTGTACCCTTCTGTCAACACCTGATTTTTGCTCGGTCCGCCGCCTGAACCCCAATTCACCTCGAACACCTGATTAGACCATTCTGATCTCTTTGAAACATCCAAATACCCAAAAACACCCAAATTTCACCACAAAAGCCCTCAGATCCATCGTTAAACCTGCTCAATACCTATCCGATGGCCCCGATTGACCCCCACTTTTACCATTAGACCAGATACAACCATTACCCCCTCATCAAATGAAGATTCCATTTCAACATTTCTTGTTAGCCTAAACACTCAGAACCCAGATTCCCTTGATCTTGACACATTCGAATCGATCAAACCACACCATTAAACTTTGGATACTTCAAAACACTTGTCCATAAAGTTTCAACCCCAAATTCCTCCATTTGCCTTTCCATCAAACCAAGATTCCATTCCGGATCCCCTTATTAACCCAAATTTCTACGATCTCGACCTCCTGAACCGATCAGACACCATTGTTAGACTCCGGACACACCAAAATACTTGCCCATAAAATCTCAACCCAAAATTCCCCTATTTACCCTCTCATCAAACACCTGAACCTGATCAGGTATGATGTTAGTACTGGAGATAGGGTTTTGTTTTGGGAGGATGTTTGGATTGGTTACTGTGCCCTCAAGGACCTCTTTCCCTCCTTGTATTCCATCTCATGTTTTAAAAACGAGCCAATTCAAAGGTTTGTGTCCTCATCCTTTTCTTTTGGCATAAACTAGAATCTGGGTTTTAGAAGAGATTTGAGAGATTCTGAGCTTGACCAGGCTGCTTTGCTCCTTAAAACTATTGATTTTGTTTGCTTGGACCCTCCTTTTGTAGACTCTCGTATTTGGAAGCCTTTACCTTCGGGTTTCTTTTCTTGTGCCTCCTTCTTTGCTTCCTTGTACTCCTCTCCATTGCCTCAACCTTTTCATAGCAGGGAAGTTTGGTCCAAACCTATCCCTCCCAAAGTTGGAGCCATTTGTTGGGAGGTATCCCTCGAGAAAATCAACACTTGGATGTTTTGCAAAAAAGAAGACCTAGTCTTTGTATCTTTCCTAACTGGTTATGCAAAGCTAACGAGGAAAGTTGCTACCATATACTAATCACTTGCCCTTTTGTTGTAGGCCTTTGGGAAAAGCTTTTTGATCTTTTTGGGTGCAAGTGGATAGAACCGGTGCAGATTTGCAATCTTTTTGATTCTACAACTTTCAGGTGGCCAAAGAGAAGAGTTTTGTGGAGGTGTGTTAGAGTTGCTTTGGTGTGGGCTGTGTGGGAGGAACGAAATGCTAGAATTTTTAATGACAAGGAGAGGGATCAAACATGTGTGTTAGAAAGCATCTTATGTAGGGTCATAAGTTGGGTAAAATCCTTGGATCTGTTYTCCACCTACACTTTCGATGACATAAAGAGAAATTGGGAACAACTAGCTAAAAGTTCCGCAATCAGAAGCAAGCCGGTGGTGGATTGGAAGCCTCCTGATGCAGGCGTCATTAAACTAAATTTTAATGGCAGTAGTTTGGGCAACCCGGGGCCATTTGGAATAGGGAGAGTCTTTAGAAATGATGAGGGTCAGATTGTAACTCTATTTTCTGGTCCTATAGGGTGGGGAGAGTGGGAGACTCTGTAAATGCAGAACTCCAAGCTGTGTTACAAGGAGCAGAATATTAAAGAGAGTTGGCAGTGGAGCATTTAATGATTGAAGGTGATTCCAAATTGGTTATTGGATGGCTAAAAGAACCAGAGACGGCAGCCTGGCTGTACAGGGGTGCTTTGAGAAGATTTAAGTGGCTGACTTCAAATATTTCAGTCACAGTTCAATGGGAAAGAAGATCGGCAAATGAGTTGGCAGACCTTCTAGCTAAACAAGGAGTACAAAGGAATCAGCTCTTTTGGACTCAATTGTAAGCTTTATGATGTAGTTTGGAGGCTGCACCTCGCGCCTCTTTGTGGGGAATTATGATGAATACTTAGTTCTTTATTTAATAAAATTTTCATTATCATTATCTATCAAAAAAAAGAAGGTCAATGATTGTTTAATCCAGGTTTTATTTTCTGTTTATGTTTATATGTTCATTAGAATCCGAATTGAACACATGCCCAGTAGTTTTTTGTTATCTCTCATGCCCGAGTTAGAGGAGATTAGTGGCTGAAATCTTCAGGGATAAGGGGCATTCATAAAAGATGAAGTAGGACTTTGTAAATCAATAAACGACATTTCAAAATAAATAAACAAAATAAAGGAATCAGGTTTTCTTTGCAGACTGGGGGAATGAAGGGGGTGCTGATTGCAGATTTGGGTGTTTAGTTTGTTAAGTAGAATACTACTTTAGAAGAGGGAAGGATTAATATAAAATAAAAAAAGAGAGAGAAAGAAGAAAAATAAAAAAAATGAAAAAATAATAAAAAAATAACACAATGAAATAAAAATAAAAAATATAAAAAATAAAAAACCAAATAAAATATAAATTAGTTTTTTCTTTTGTATTGGTTTATTCTTGTGCTTGCTTTCTTTATTGTTATTTCCTTTTTTTAATTGCATATTTTGTGATTATGTATGCTTGGGATGCCATGTGGGCCCCACCTATACCTGGAGAGGGGTGCCTAACCCCTTCCCTCTCCCATCTGAGTCTTACCCTGACTGGTTTAGCAGGTGCCTTGGGCTATTGGAGTCACTATTTGATAAAAATGATTTTGATGCCATTTTCAGAGGTCTCATCACCTCCATTTCCTAAACTGATGGGTGGTGACTCCAACTCAGCCCAAGTGAGCCGTTTCATGACACTCACACCCTCCCAATGCAGAAAGGAGGAGGAAGAGTGGTTTGGATTAGGGGTTTGAGAAATTCTCATATAATAGAACTTTGTAGCTAGGGGTGGATTCAAGTCTAGCCAAGCTGAATATTTGGCTATTCAAGCTTGACTCAACAGGAAAATATGAGGCTCGAGTTCGATCCAAGCTAGAAACTGAGCTTGAAGCCTTGAATTTGGCTCAAATAAAAAACTCATATGTTGGAGCTTGGCTCGGGCTCGAGCTCGACAACAAGTGTATACACAAAAAATTATTCATATAAATAATTGTTTCTTATTACACTATAAAAATTGAAAGCGTGTGCGCGCACACACACACACATATATATCATATATAATATAAGCTCGATTAGGTTACTGATAAAAAAAATATAAGCTTGATTAGGCTTGCAAGCTTCACGAGCCGAGCTTCATTGGGCTCAAGCTTGACTCAAAGCTCGGTTTAGATTGAGCCAAATCAAGCTTCTCATGAGCTGAGCTTGAATAGCTCGTTAAAAGCTTGGTTTGTGTCCACCCCTATTTGTAGCACATGTTTTTGGATATAAACAAGATTATAGATTGGAGGGTTTGAAATAACTATGTTAAATGGTTTAATTTGATCTAAAAGCGAGATAGCATGTCTTGAAAAAAGGAATTTCCATCCAGGGTAGGTTTGTAAGAACAGAAGGTTATGCCATGATTCAGGTTGGATTTGCTTGAAGGATTGAGTTAGTTGAAATCATTATTTTTTAGTTCAGATAAGTAAGGTTGTAGGAGCTTTATGCATGATAAAAAGCACCATTGCTGTGTCTATTTGTTTAGATTATAGTTGAAATCGTGGGTGCAAGTACAAGGACCTACTTTTTGATGTAAAAAGGGCATTACACATGGTTGAATTGGGAATTCAAGTTATAGATAGATGTCTTGTACCAAGAAGTTAGCAGTTTTAAAAGTTCAGCATGAACAGATTGAGGGAAAAAGATAGATGGTTTTATGTCAGTCGATTAGCCAAGGCCAACAAGAGGTAGAAATTCCAGAAGTATAATGGTGGATTTGTGGTAACTTTAGCACATGACTTGTTGGAGAGTAGGTGTTTTTTAATTTAGAAAAGGGTGAAGAAATGAAATTCCAGTTTTCATACGTTTCTCTTGTCTCCAAGCCTTTGGATTTTTTTCTTTCTATTTTTGGGCTTTTAGGAAGCTTGTATTATGGAAGGATTTTGAAGTGACTCCAGGAGGGGAAAGTGTTTGGCTGTTACAATTTGCAGATGACACTTTGTGCTTTGTGGAGGCTAAAGACGATCAGCTTGACTTGTTGGTAGGGGTGCTGAGCTGGTTTGAGATAGTATCGGGGTTGAAAGTAAATTGGATTAAAAGCTCTTTGATTCCTGTGGGTAACGTGGGAAACATCGAGGAATTGGCAGAAAGGTTCTTTTGTAAGGTGAGCTTTTTACCAACAAAATACTTGGGACTCCCATTAGGAGCTAATTGCACTTCATGTCTGATTTGGGGACTTGTCTTGGAAAGATTAGAGAAGAAATTGGCTGCATGGAAGGCTAAGTACTTGTCCTTGGGAGGTAGAATTACCTTGCTGAAAAGCTCTTTATCTAATCTGCCAGCTGTCTATCTATCCTTATTTGCAATTCTGGGAAAAGTAGCTCAGAGAATTGAACAACTGCAGAGGGATTTCTTATGGAGAGGATGGGAGGAAGATAAGAAATTTTGTTTGGTAAAGTGGGATCAATTGTGCTCCCCTAAGGAAAAAGGAGGCCTTGGTATTAGACACTTGAGAGTTTTTTAATACTGCTCTTTTAGGGAAATGGATTTGGAGATTTGGTACAGAAAGGGACAATTGGTGGAGGAAGTTAGTCGCAACCAAATATAATACAGATAGAGGAGATTGGATTACCACCTCTTCTTTCACGTCTTTAGGTTGCTCAATTTGGAAGAAAATAGTGGAAATACTTCCTATTTTCAGCAGAGGACTGAGTCCCAAGCTGGGCAAAGGTGATAGGTTGGCCTTTTGGAATGACCCTTGGTGTGACAGTTCTCCTCTCTCAACTCTGTTCCTGCACCTATTCCTTTTAGCTGAGTCTCAAGAGGCAACTATATCTGAATGCTATGACTTGAATGATGGTTCAGTGGTATGGTGTCCTATGTTTAGAAGAAACTTTCAGGACTGGGAGATTATGAAATTTTTAGAGCTACTTGAATTGCTAGTACTTCAGCAGCTGAATTTGCAATCTGAGGATGGCTGGACTTGGAACTGGAGTCCAGATGACCAGTTCTTGGTCAAATCCTTTGCCCATTACTTATCTGATAACACCCTGGAAGAGACGCCTGCATCTATAATCTGGAATCCAATCTCTCCTTCAAAGATTAATGCTTTGGTTTGGGCTGCAACTCTAGAAAGATGTCTAACCAAGATTCATCTCTCAAAAAGAGACTTTCAGCTTCAAGATTTGCTTTGTGTGCTGTGTGGCCAAGATTTGGAGGATAGTAATCATCTCATTGTCCTATCTTGGCTAAGATCTAAAATCATTACTTTTCCGCCCTGGATCTTGACTGGGTCATGTCTAGGTCTGTAAAGGAGCTGTTGAGATGTTGGGAGCTGCAAGGTTTGTCAAAGCTAGCAAAAAGTCTGTGGAGGTCTATTCCGGCGGTTGTAATCAACACTATTTGGCAGAAAGAAATAAAAGAATTTTTCAAAATCTGTCCAAAGAACCAGAAGATCTGATTGCATTTACTTTTGGAAAGTTGCTCTCTTGGATTTCAGCTGTAAAGGGATTTTGGGTCTCTCATCTGGGGGATAGATTGTCCTATGAGAATTTGTGGAATTTGTAATGTTGTATGATCTGCTTGATCTTTCCCCAAAGTCTGATTTTTGGGGGGATCCTCTTGTACTTATATTTCATCTTTAATGAAATTACCTTACCTTTTCTATTTGTTTTTTGAATATTCCTATAAATGTAGTGAGAGGATGACAAGCTTGAGAAACAGACAAGTGCTTCAACTAGCTGGTCTTCTCCCTTCCAAGGCACAGTCAAGCTTTTTTTTTGTTGTTCCTTTGGGAGCATAATCTCATTTAATGTTTTGGAGGGTTTTCAGAGATCTCAGATAAGTTATAAGTTATGATTATTTACCTTGGACCAGCTGGGCATGAGACTTGCAGTTAGAGCAGAGATTTTGGCCTTGCTACAAGCCTATAAGGTGTAAGGTTGATGCTTTAAATGGGTTTCAGCTTTCAACAGAGTGATTGTAGAGGGAGAAACATGGATTGTTATTGGTTGGTGTGATCAATGTTTTGAATATGAGAAGTGCAATTAAAAACACTAGAGTTTGTGCTGATAAAAAAACAAAACCATGGTTGCTAGAGCCCAAAGTGCGAGGTGTGCGCCTGAATGAAGTGAAATGCCACTTGAGAAAAAAAGGAAAACTTGATATACTACATTACTACATGCATTCATGCATATGCATTTCTAGATTCTGAAAGAAATAAAATATTTCAAACAATCTTTAGTTCAATTGGTCCAGGTAGCGGGCCATTACTCCAATATTGGTCTCTGTTATCTGGGGTCTTGGGGGGGTGGACTGAAGGTGGGCCTAAATTTTGGCATTTCTTGCACAAAGTGGTTTCTCTCAGACTCATGCCCACATTCTCATGTTTGTCAGCTCAATGTTTTACCATTGCATAAATCAATGACAATGATCCAGCTCAGTGGATTGAAGGTTTTTTTTTTTTTTATTATTATTCTTGGTTAGAATATTGTTTTATTAACAGAAAGATTGTAGCTTTTGTATGTTCAAGTCCTACGTGGGTCAAGAATATTTATTTCTGGAGCCATTGAAGTCTGGAGATTTGCATGATCTTGACATTCTTTTCTATACAATTTTTCCTTTAAAAAGTCCTACATGGATTAAACTGTTTAAGCATCATATGAACTGCAATGCAGTAAATTATGCATACAAGATTTAATTCATGAAAACATAGCAACGGGCCGGTTGAGGTGCATATGCTCCTGGGTTTAGGTCAGTCAGCATTGTTTACTAGCTCAAGTGTGCCCAAGACACATCTTCTAAAATGCTGGGTGCCTGGATGTCAGGACCTTGCCCCTTTGTCACTATAGTCAATTCTTTGGTAAATGAGATGGCTAGAGGAGGATAATAGGAGTTACTTGCATTAAGGATTTTTAAGGAAAAATGGGACCATTTTTTAAGGAAAAAGTGTGTCTTTATTCCAAGGCTTTGGCAATGAAGTTTTTTGTTTTTACATTGCCAACAATTGAGGTAGGGTAGGCAATATCTGTACTTCTAGTCCTGCACTGGCCCCTTGGACTTCTCCACTAGTAATTTTCTAAAGTCCAACTGTTTTTTTTTTTCTTTTTCTTTTTTTGAGAGAAAAGTTACAGTCCTAAAGTTCAACTTTGATTGCTTCATCTTAGGCCATCTAAGCATTCTGGAAGTTTGGAGAAATGTTGATGGTCAAGTAGTTTATACATTTTCAGGTTCTAATTATTATGGGGGGGGGGGGTCCAATAATTCTAAAGCCTTCTTCCTCTTTGAGGGTCCTAAATCCTTCCAAATCCTTGGTTTCTCTAATATGATTCGTCAAGAAAAAAAACAGAAGGTTGTTTGATCAGAAATCCACTCCTGAAGCCGAGGTCATCAATTCAGCCATAGATGCCATTAGGAGCTGGTTGTCAATGCATACTGAATTCAAAGATCTTACTTCTGATCATACTTTTTTGAGGGCCTTTTTTTGTACAGTTACTCGTTGTACACAGGACCAGTTATTAATACAATCATACTTCACCTTCTTTCAAAAAAAAAAACAACAAAAAAAAAACAGTAACTTAAAAATGCAATTGGTTGGCTATTGAGAATAGGTAAATATTCTTTGGACAAGAACCTTTTTCCTTTTTTAAAGTGAGGTAATCCTTGTTATTTCAGCAACTTCAGACATGTTGTCAGAATGATATGGTGGATTCTTTAACTTGGGATGATCAGGAAAAATAACCTACAGGGATCCCTGGCTTCCGTTTTGGGCTGCAAACAAATTTGGATTTGAACCTAAATACTAATGATTCAAATTTGGATCAAGTATCAAGATCATATATTATTAGATCCAATCATAAACAGATTCAATTTTGATCATCTTAATCGGATTAGATTTGAATTTGAATTCAGATAAATGGATTACCTTTGGGCTTTGGAGCCCTATTAATGTGTAGACCTCTTGTATTTTTGTGGCTGTTTTGGCTGACTTTTCCTTGTATGGTACTTTTTGCTATTGAACAGGAGTATGAAGAGAAAATGCGGGAAAAGGGTGAGACACCAGTGATGTTCAGGTGAAGTACTAAAGCATCTCTTGATCCTAATTAGATTGTGAATTGGATGCTGATTCTTTTCCTTTCCAAACTATCTTGTGGCATCTTTTGTTACAGCCACTTGGGTCCTCCTCGTAGACGAACAACTGCAGAGGAAGATGAAAGAGCAAAACATCCAAAACCAGAGGTATTTATCTATCTTATTCATGTCTAATTATCACATTATATCTTCTGCTATCTGAGAATTATGAACCAATTTGTGGTTGCAGGACTCTGTTTATTATCATCCAACACTAAACCCTACAGGGGCACCGCCTCCTGGAAAGCCTCCCATGTACAAGTCATCTATAGGTTAGTTAACCTGTTGTGGCATGATGAGATGATGAAGTTGCCTTTTTAGTTCATCTCTTTTTTCCTTTTTCTTGCAGGACCTAGGATTCCTTTGTCAGAAGCTTCGTCAAGCAGTCAAGTATCTACATCAAAGTTAGAGTCAGAGGATGCATCTTTAGCTGTACCTCCTCTACCCCCTCTTGCGGATTCCAGTGAATTGGGTTCTAAAGATGGTTCTTCTACTCCATCATTGCCTTTACCTCCTCCACCTCCAATGCCACCAAAATCTGCTGCAACAGACATTGGTACAAAATTGCCTCCACCACCACTGCCACCACCACCACCAGGGCCCCCACCTAAAGAGCAAGCAGTTCAGACTCAGCTTCCTCCACCTCCTCCACTTCAACGATCAACTCAGCCACCTCCACCAGGTACCAGTGGAAGCACACTAGAAAAGGGTCAAGCTGGAATATTGAATGACCCAGATAACAAGGATCCAGATCTGGTAATTTCTCTTGGATAATTTTTTATAGCAATCCCATGCAAAAAGAAATTGTGACATTGCAAACACCTAGACCCACTTTTGTTGTTGTTGTTTTTTTTTTTTATGTGCTTGTATATTGTATTTGAACTTACTCTTCTCTCTTTCTTGGTAGGTGCCATCCATGCTCCCTCCACCTCCCCCTCCACCTGGGTTGCCACCAAAATTGGGTGGTCATCAATCTGAAAGTGCAGTATCTGACTCTGATGCCACTAATTCTACAGGGACTAAGGATGTAGTTAAGATGATTCCACCGCCACCACCACCAGGGCCACCAACAGCAGTGCCTAGACCTGCCTTGATGCCCACTCTACAGCCTGATGTATTACCCCCAGGCATTTCACGTTTTCCACCACCCCCTCCACCAGATATGAGGCCACCACCATCGGGCCGTGGTCTTCCTAGCCAACCTCCTCCTGGAATGATCATCCCATCAATTTCAAGATCACCTTTTGGTCCACCACCTGGACCACCCCCTATGATGAGGCCCCCACTCCCACCCACCTCTTTTCCTCCCTTTCAGGAAGATGATCATTCTGCAGTTAGACCTTCTGTGCCTCAGAAGCCATCTTATGTCAAATCAGCAGCATCAACAGTCGTAAAGAGGCCATTAGCACAGCATACTCCAGAACTTACGGCTATGGTGAGTGGCTTTGCTTTCTTTGTTTATTTTACATTTAACCATTATGTCTATGGCATGTTTATCAAGATGGGACTGCTGTTGACTGTAGGTTCAATTACTAGTTTAATTGTTTTTCTTTTATTGCAAAAAACATTCAGCACGGCTCACACCATAGTGAGGCCTTTGATACATGTATTATTTTTATCCAAATTTGATAGATGTTTTGATCACATCATTTTCTACTAGTTTTAAATTTTTAATAGTTGATTCTGAGAACATTTGATGCCGACTTTCTGAATTAGGTTCCTGCATCTGTACGAGTGAGGAGAGAGTCTGCTGTTCAGAAACCAAAACCCAGGCCATCTATGTCAACAGGGGCAACAGCCCCGCGTGCAGCAGCTCCAGCTGTCCCTGGGAAGTCAGAATCAGTTAACCTTTCATCTGCACCAAAGACACAAAGCATTGATGATTCGTATATGGCCTTTTTGGAGGACATGAAGGCTCTCGGTGCACTTGATGGTTGAGCAACTTGAGCTAGCTAGCTGGTCACTTTGTGCAAAGAATACGGAGGTTTCAAACATGTACCGAGAGGAAAATGGAAAAACAAGAGGCTTTGGACGCATTAGTTATTCATTTAGCTAGCCTTGGTTTCTTCTCTTGAAATTTCCATTTTGGAATTTGCATTCTTGCATTATGGGCGTTTCCATTGCACCATGCTGTAACTGGGGAACCTTGTTTTTTCCTTGCTTCCCAACGATGGTGTAATGTGGAGATATTTCAGTGTAATGAATCATCAGAAATGTTACCTGGGAGCAATTTGGGAATTGCATCACATATATCATTTATTACTTTTTGCAGTGAAGCTGTTGATGTAAATGATTTAGTTATTCTTCTACCCCCAGTTCAGCAGATGTTTGCCAATCATAACCTCTAGCAGCCTTCTTTTCTTCACCAAAGAAAAAAAAACTTCTAGCAGCCTTTAAAAAATAAAGGGAAAATTACCAAAAGTTGTCATTTCAGTTTCTTATGCCAAATAGTGCAGAAAACTCTCTGCACTGGTTTTCCTTATTTCTTAAGTTATGCATAAAGTCTTACATGCAATATAAACTCCATTTCCATGTTTAAGTATTTTATTAGTTATGACTTATGAATAATAGTAAAATAATGACTTTATATTCTATCTCCCTATCATTAGTTGTGAAACTCTTTTAGAATTATATGTTTTCGGTTTTCCAAAACCGAACTAGATAAAGGATTAATTAAATAAAACAAAAAAGAAATTAATTTTGTAGATTTATACAATTATACATAACAAAGTACAGAAATGGAGGAAAAAATAAAACTTAAAACTACTATAATTTTTTTTCCCGAAGTTCTCTAAAATAAAAAGGATATTCAATTAAAATGCTATTGGATGTGTGAAAGCTATTTTAGGAGCAATTGGATAGAAATTGAATAGAATAACCTAGTGGGCACAGGCTTTAATTGGAGGAAAGTTTTTGTAACATATTCGGAAAAGTACAGATAGGCTCAATGCAGAATTCTGATTTCTACTGTAGAGTTATAAACATTCAAAATGGCAACAATCCACACTATATGTACCAATTCCTATGATGATAGAGAAAACTTGCATAATTTGAAAAGAATGTAGATAAATACAATTACCCAGTAAATTTTACTTGGATAAATAACTTAGGAAAGGAATGAAATGTAAAGTAAAAAATTTAAAATGCTCATATCCACATGATCAATAATTTAAACTTGAAGCTGGAGTAATTGAGAATTGCTGGACAAGAATATGTTACTACGAAAAGGGTAGCCAATAAATTCACAACTTCAAAGTCATATTTAAATTACAAAGACCCTTCCATTATGGGAAATGATAATTACCCCTCCAAACTTTCTTTTACCACAAAGACCCTTCAGAACTTTTACTTTTAAACAAATACCTCTTGACAGATAAATTAGCTGACCGAATACATTAAATTACCAAAATATTCACCCAAACTTTCTCTATTTTTTCCTTGCCCTTTTCTCTTAAACCCTAATTGATCCAAAAATATCTCCATTTTCTCCGAAGGAAGCCAATTAAAATAACAAGAATCATTTTATTGACATAGAAAAACAAGTTTCTTTAAAATTTTTGTTTCATTTCACTGGCATGAAAATTTATCTTCATATTAAAATATAAATGTTATCTACTCATTTTTCCAATAAATTAAGAAAATCCAAACAAAACCATAAATACACATCTATCAAAAAAGTACCACTGACATTTCATTTAAATATTGAATCCAACCAAAAATCTACAAGAATCTATTAGAGCAACTGAGAGGATTTCAATATTATATTTAGAAAACCAATCGAATCATAAATCATTCAAATAAGTAAGAAAAAGGATATATTGAAAATTTAAAAACATTAAAATAACTGAATAAAAATCTTTTAAAAGTTAACTGACCAAACTCTATCAGAGGGGTATCTGTCGTAAAGCAAAGTTCAGGGGAAAATTATTTATGTCCCATAGTAGAACTCAAGGGTCTTTGTCGCAAATGAAACTATGAAAGTTCAGAGTTTAATTGTCACTTACCCCATACCAGAGGGGTATTTGTAATTTACCCCCTTTACTAGTCCATGTTACCGTAAAATCAAGAAAAAGAAAGGTCGAAAGAGTAATAAGCAATCAGCCATCGTCATCGTATTTCGGCGCCTTTGCCATAAATGGTTTGTGGGCCGTGGCTGGCGATCCAGAGAAGAAAGCTTTTACTCTATCTTTGCAAGTGTCGTCAATAATCGTCAATCGTAGGTGGTAAGCAGCAATCCTTAGTTCTTACCAGAAGAAACCAAACCACAAGATGTCAACTGGTTCAGCTGGTCAAAACTCAAAACATGAATAAAAAGCTAATTTTTCAGTTAAAATCCAAGTGTACTTTCTGTACCCAAAAAGAAAATCCCCCTTTTCTAATATTTTTGTTTCTTTTCTCTTTGTGAGGGAGAAGATGATGATATTCGTAGGTCAAATATTCATTTGCTTTACCTTTGAAAATTGTTCTTAAATCTTAGGTTTAACCATTACGAAATCCGGAATGAGTCTACCCATCCAATCATCCGTCAAAGTCAATTCACGTCTGAACGTGTATTCCTTCTTCCCAAGTCTCAACTCAACCATGATCAGGACCCACGAGTTCTTCCCAACCATTAGCAGCTGAAAAAATTAATTTGGGCAAGACGAAACTCTACCCAGAATTCAAATTCAGCTTTTATATATTTATATTTGTTAATGCCTTTTCTTTTTCAACTTCACGGCTTCCTACTCCATTCCCATTAAATTACGCCCCTTAAAACATTGAAATAAGGCTCCCTCTCTTTTGAAACTTCCGCAAGTCAACCATGCCGACTGTCGAGTTCGGCCTTTCAATAATAAAAATAGTAAAAAACTGCCCACCCTTGCATTGTTTTGTGGTGTTGTCCACACAGAAGCCGCAGTCGGTTCCAGCTGTGGAGTTGAAAGAAAGACAAACAATATATACATGTGAAATTTTAAGATTATCAGAGAGAGGGAGACAGAGGGGCTGGGAGAGATTGGTGGGTAGTCGTTAATCAATCTGCAGAGGTATTCACAACCCAGAAGGTGTTTTCCTTGCATTAAGCTTCTCTTGTGGTTGGCGGTCAATTTTATAAACAATGCATTTTTTTTAAGCTTCTTAAATCCCTATTGAAGTTGAGGAAGGCAGAAGGGGGGATTCTCGTTCTTGCTGTTTCTCTTTGACTGTGCGGACTGCAGACAGATGGGTGGTGTTCTTGCCATTTTTCTCCTGTTTGCTCACTTGCTGCTGCTTCCTGATACTTCGTCTTCGTCTCCCTTATGCACTGATTCAAGTGGGTCTCTCTCTCTCTCTCTCTCCACACGTACACACATGATCTTGTACTGTTCCTCTTCCTTATTTAATATACTTAATTTGCAATTCTTATAACGATGTCCATTTCTGTTTCCTGGAATAGGGGCACCTGTTACTCTGAAGACGCCTCTGGCATTCTGTCCATACAATGGAAGCGTCTGCTGCAACTCTACGAAAGATCTGCAGCTGCAGAAACAATTTGAGGCCATGAACGTCTCGGATCCTGCCTGTGCTTCTCTTCTGAAATCGATTCTCTGTGCGGTAAACCTTCATTACCATATAAGTTTGGGACTGTATCAACATCTAAGTTTCAAATTTACATTGATTTCACTGGTAGCAGCACAACGTCATGCTATTTCTTGGGCCTCACATTAAAATACAGTATCTCCAGTCAGTTTACCTTGTTTTGACTTTGATCAGTCTATGATATTTGTTTGTAATTGAAATTCACGGTGAGCATTCCTAGTAATAGATGTATTATTTATTGTTTTCTGATGAAAAATTGAAAGTGAGTTATTGTCAATATCTGTTTTAGTCTTTTTTTGGTGTTTGCCGTTTAGTCGGTTTCACATTACCAGTTTTAATGCTAACTCCTAAAAAGAAAAAGAGAGAAACTTTCTAGGCTTTAGGTGAGTCAGCATTAGCACTGGCCTTTTTTGTGAAACATGACTGGAACTCCTTTACAGAGCATATTATCCAATAGGTAGAGAAACCTGTAGGTGCGCGTCTAGCCTGTAGTAACTTCTCAGTTTTGAATTGAATATGAGGTCAGGGGCCATCCCCTCTCACTCACACACACACACACACACTAAAAGAATGATAAAGATAGAGAAAAGGAAAAGGAAAAACAATCTGTCTTAGAATTCAAGTAGAATTTGTTCATCAAACACACAGGTATTGTCATTATAAATGATCTTGTAGTTGTTGGCAATGATGCTTCAGTGACCATAAAGAATTGTGGGCGGCCAATGGAACCTGTTCTTTCTAAGGCCTGATTTTCTATTTCAGATTAAAAAAAAAAGGTTTTCTATATGAGAATGAAGTATCAAATCTCTTTTCACTGTATGGGCCAGATTTTTCTTGCCATATTGTTCTTTTTAGAACTTTTGATTTCAAAGGAGTAGCTAATTTATCACCTAAAGTTGTATGATGCAACCTCATTGGCCTATGAGGTCAACTACATTTAATAATCCCACCTATATAAAATGAAAAGGAGAAGAAATAGATAAAGAGTTTGATTTTGAGGCAATTCTACCTCCAAGTTTATTTTAATTATTCTTCACCCTGATTACGGTAAAAATACTTTACATATATATCACTGTCCAATACTTCCTAAGTGTTCTCTAAGTTTTCCATAGGCTGCGTTTGGAATCGGTGTAAATCAAGAACGATGTAAACATTTACACCGGTTCAATTTTGTTGGCGTTTGGAGGGAGTGTGTAATCATGCTTCACTCCGGTTCAGTTTTGCGTGCGTTTGGATGGAGTGGAGTTTTACGTCGTGAATCATTGCAAAACGTCATCAAATGTAAAGTTTTACATCGATTATCGATGTAAATACTACATCAATAAAATCGATGTAAAACTTTACACCGGTTGCATCACACTTTTCAAAAATACAACGGTCACTAATCACGGTTCAGTGTAAAAAGTCATCGGTGTACTTTTACACCGATTCCAAATGCAGCCAGAGGTAACAATATAAAAGTATGAAATTTCCTAGTTAACTAAATGTCAAACTTAAAAAGATAATCTACCATACAAATCTATTAGATAAATACTAACTCGTTGACTATCTAGTAACTAAATATGACAATATATATTTCATTTTAGCAACCATTACATTACTTCCCCCTTTATCAGCCTTGTCATTGAGCTTGATAATTGTAAAGATTTTTGCTCACTCAATTTGGTTTTATTAGTTTTATGGTTCGACCGGTGACCCTTTTATCATCTCCTCTGCCATTGCCATTTATCAGAAGGAATTTCTGTGCCGTGCAGTGATGACCAATGCAAAATTTTCATTGCAACTTTAGCAACTTCCATTCTCATTGATTCACCATTTCTGGAAGCATTTACTTTGAACCCTTGCATTGGAACCAGAAACCTGAGTAGCAGACAAGGAATTCACTATCTATAACTCAGAATTTGATAGCTAGAACAATTAGGTCTACATGTTATTGAATATCCATGCCAAAGAAATTTGTACAGGGTTCTGGGCTAATGACTTCTGACATAGAATTGATTTTATTCTTGAGTCCACTTACATAACTACTAACAAGAAATTAATCTGGCACACCTAGAATATGACTAGAGTTCATTTCAAACTTTATTTGATACTCTTGTAATACTTCAGTCTGACTCAATAAGCCCGAGTGCCTCACACACACACACACAAAAAAAAAAAAAGTCAAGGCAGCTCTCTGGCATTAGTCTGTATCCAACGACATTGTTGAATGGCATCACCCGTGGATGGAATGTAGCTGTTTCGACTGCTGCTACAGTAGTCCGAACAGGAAGAAGAAGAAGAAGAAGAGAAGAAGAAGGGTCTGTCGAAAATCTGATGGTTAATCCATCCAGTTGACCCCCTTAATCTATATTAGATTCTAATAATGTTTACAAAGACAGAAATGCCCTTACTTAAGTGTGGGGCAGAGTAACTCTAATAACACTGTCACATAAGCAAGTTACTTAATAAACAGAAGAAGACTAAACTACCCCTATTCGGCACATCTTAACAGTAGCCTTCATCACACTTTGACCGTTTGGCACATTTCAATGATCCATGAGCTTCTCGGCCCTATAAATCCAGCTGAAGGATCTTCACCTTTTAAACCTTGGAAATTCTAATGAATCTACTCTCATATAGATAGAGGTGACTGATTCTGTTGATTTTCACACTGGTCATTTTGCTAGGGGACTAGTTGGAACTTAAGTTGATTTTTCCCTTCCTAAGATTTTTTATTGATGTTTCCCTCCTAAGATTTCCACTTCTAAGGACTTGATCCCACTTTCTATAACTTAGATCTGCCCATCCATGTATGACATTTGAACGTTTGTTGCTTGATTGATGACAAAAATCATTAAATCTCTTACCTTGTTCTGTTGTCATCTTCCATTTCCTTCCTTACACCTCAATGAGTTTAAGTTTCTGCAATCCACACATGATCTTGAGCAGGGCCAACTATGCACAAGTGAACTGGGTTCAAGAGAATCTCCAAGGTCTAAATCGTGAGTCCTTGATTCCCATCTGTAATGATCCCACTCAAGGTAAAAAAGTAGAGACCAAAGAAGAAATAGAGCTCTCTTCTTTGGGACAACCAGATCTCCAGATTACTGTTTTATTTAATCATTCTTTACTTCAGTTATAATAAAAACATTCAATATCAATATATAAACCAAAGGTTTGGTCTCTTTTCAGTTCACCCCTCCCAAGACCAGGGATACCCAGGACTTGTAGAGAGAGAAAATTGTTTTTGGTTGTAGTTAGGGTTTTCCTTTAGGGAGAACTCTGGGGGACATACATGGGCACAATTGTGATGTTGGTAACTTTTTGTACCTATGGAAAAGGAAAGACCTGGTTGTAATTTTGAAATAGTTAACTATCAGGATTATTTAAGCCATTGATTGCAATCAATTAGGCTTGAAAGAGTATGGGCAAGGGGATGAATAAGTCAATTGTGGTGTATTCTTCACTTATTTCATAGTGGAATGCTCGTCTTTGTTTCATCTTCCTTTTCTTTATTTTGTTATTTTTCTGGTTTATATTAATCTTGCAATTACAGCTTGGCAAGACCAGCATTGGGTCATGGACCCGTATAAGAAATATATAAGCCACCACCACTACTTCCAAAATGTTCCCTAAGCCTTCCCTCTGTAAAAGTTTGAAGTTTCCTTGTCTTATTTAAAATCCTAAATCAAACAAATCTGCTTGTATCAAGCTTCAACTATGCTAATATGCTTACTAGATAAATTTGACAATATATTTTTTTTATCAGTAACCATTATAATACATAAGAAATACTTCTAATAGATATAATGCAAATTATTTTTTAAAAGATGGTGACACCATCCCATAAGCCTTGTAATAGTTGAGGAGCATAGAGAAAAAAATGGTTGAGAACTCTATCCTTTTTCCTTGGCTGATATAGGGATTCATGGTTTGACTTTTCTCTACTCTTTTTTCTTCTTGATAAATTGTATTCAGATGGTTAAGGATTTAGGTTCTTGTTTTTGAAACCAAATATGGTTGGATGCTATGTAATAAAGGTTCTCCATTTTCTTATCTATATGATATCCACATTTTTCTCACATGCCAAAACTTCTACCATGCTAAAACTATTTCAGGTTTTCTTTAGTTGCTTAATGGACACCTCATATCTTTTTGGGCAGGATACATGTTTCTGCCCTTGTTATTGGTTAAATGACTTGATTTCATCATGATTGCAATCCAATTGATAACCTAATATGCATGCTTGGCACTGTAAGCTTACATCATTGTTGGGTCTGTTTTTATATGTTTAAATTTCTCCTAGTCTCCTCATATCCATATTTTCATGATTTGCAGACATGTGATCAGTTCTCTGCAGAGTTATTTAGAATTGAATCAGAGCCTCGGTCAGTTCCTGTTCTTTGCAAATCTACTATCTCAGCAAATGCATCCCAATCTAGTAGTGCAGTGAATGATTTTTGTGGAAAGGTCTGGGACACATGCCAAAATATATCTGTGTTAAATTCCCCATTTACCACCTCACTGGAAAGTAGGGATGGAGTACCGGGTAATTCAACTTTTTCCAAACTATCCAACCTATGGAAGTCAAAAAGTGATTTTTGTGATGCATTTGGTGGAGCTTCTGCTGATGGATCAGTGTGTTTTGATGGTCAACCTGTTTCACTAAATAATACTGATACTCTAAGTCCTCCAAATGGTGTATGCCTTGAGAAAATTGGGAATGGATCTTACCTTAACATGGTTGCTCATCCTGATGGGTCCAACCGTATCTTCTTGGCTGACCAGAAAGGTAAAATATGGCTGGCAACTGTTCCTGAAGAGGAAACTGGGGGAATATTAGGGATTGATGAATTAAATCCTTTTCTAGATCTAACAGACGAAGTACATTTCGATATTGAGTTTGGTCTAATGGGATTGGCATTTCATCCGGACTTCACAAAAAATGGTCGCTTCTTTGTCTCATTCAATTGTGATAAGGTTAAAACGCCAGGATGCTCTGGAAGATGTTCATGCAATTCAGATGCCAACTGTGATCCTTCGAAGCTTAGTCCTGATAATGGGGCTTCTCCATGCCAGTATCATAGTGTGATCTCAGAATATACTGCTAATGGTACTGCATCCGAGGTTTCCTTGGTATGTATACATACATCTCTTGGTATATGTTTGTTGCACTTCTCATTGGGACTCTAATGGAATGATATTTTTCTAGGCAACAAGGGCCAATCCAATAGAAGTGAGAAGGATATTTACAATGGGCCTGCCATTCACATCTCATCATGCAGGGCAGATTCTCTTTGGACCTGCAGATGGGTATCTATACTTTATGATGGGGGATGGAGGAAATAGTGGTGATCCTTACAATTTTTCTCAAAACAAGAAATCCTTGCTAGGAAAAATTATGAGGCTTGACATAAATAATATACCAAGTGAGTATTAAAGCAGAATAGCTTGTCTAATTGTCTGTCTAGGGGAAGATTGTTTTAGTCAGAACTCAGAATTATCTACTGCTTTGTGCATATTCCTTTCTCTGTCAATGTGATTTTCTGTCCTCAAAATCATACTTTGTTTCCTTAGCAAATTGGATCCTTTGGTTATACTTTTTTCACTTAATTCATCTTGGATTTGACGTTTCATTACTAGTTCACCTTGAAGATATATGTATTTGAAGGATGAGAAAACAATAACAACAATAGCAACAACTATATATAGCACTGAATATATTACCAAATCACTCCTCACTAATGCCAAGTTTATCTTAATTGCACAAATATAACCTTTCATGAAAGCTGCCTTTAAGTTTGGTTGCATGCTTTTATTTCTGATTTAAGATTCCTAGTCAAGCTACTTGTTTGTCGTAATTCCTATATTTATATTGGCCATGCTCATAGTATATGTGCTACTTTGTGATTTTCCAGTAAGTGCTGTATTGGCCATTCTCAAGCCTTCACCAGTTTTACCACCCACAAGCTAGTTAGCATTTTTCATGAAACCATGCAAAATGGAAGGGAACAAATCAGAAATGCCACTTAATACCCAAGAAAAAAAGAAATACCACTTATACCCGCAGAGTTATTGGTTATATTTTTTTGTTCCATGGAAGAAGAACCAAATAGGAAATTCTGTGTTCAACAGAGTGGAGTAATTTCGGGTTCTGTTATAAAGAAACTTCTCTATATGTTTCTTCTGTTTCTGTTCTCCACAAGTACCCCAACCACAATGGGCTATAATTTTGAATTCCTCCTCTGTTCTTTTTTTTTTTTTTTTTTCTCTCTCTGTAGGAACCAAGGATTGTACGCTTAGTTGTAGTTTCTTTTCCCTTTTCCTTTGGGGGTGGGGTGTGGAAACAAGGAAAACTGAAGCATTTATGGCTCCCTTTGCCTTGATGTTCTTTTCTTTTGTTTCTGTGTGTGTGTGGGGGGGGGTGGGAATAGGAAAGCTATTTAGTATTCTTTTTCATCTTTATCCTTGTTTGTTTGTGTGTTTTACCATTCTTACATGATACTGGAAACTCCTATCCTTCATGCCTTTACCTTTTTTCTATTTGTTCTTTTTTAGTAATGAATTGCTTCGCCTGAGAATAAATTTGCACGGAGATAACTTGATATGAATTAGAGATTCCTAGAAACTAAGAGATGTATTTCAGTCTCAGTGTCTGCAGCGTCCCTACATTGTTCCATGTCTGTTTACCCTCTATTCCTTTCAACAAAATAATTTCAAGTATTCTTGATTTTGTGTCTCCATGTAACAGCTTACTTTTTTGATAATTGTGTTGGAATTTGTTGTTTTTTTTTCAGATATTGCATCTCCAATTACTTTGCACCAATCCATCTTCTGATCTGTATGGAAACCTTTATTTGTTTACTTATATTTTTTTTAATTGCTACATTTGGACTTTTTATTTTTATTTCTTTACTTTTTCTCAGTCTTTGCAGTCTCCCCCTAGTTTCCTACTAGTTCATCAACTTACACTGTCTGCCATATGTCAATATAGACGCAAACAATTACTTGTAGATTGTACCAAATGACCTTTCTTTTGTCCCCTTGGTCAATAATCATTTTATCTTTCATATTGATATTGCTGCTAGTCATTAGCCATTGACCTGATTGATCCCGAGGATGGTCAAATGTTGATTTACAAACCCCCTACTTTTTTTTTGTGGTTTGGTCAATCTTCTAGTTAGGATCCATAAACTTGTAGTTCCTTTCCCTAAATTTGCTGTGTTATCTATCTGTATGCCATTAATATGCTTTCTTACTTCTGATGGTTTAGTTTGGAGTTTATGTATAATGTATTTGTTTGTTTGTCTTGTGTGCATGCGAATTCATGATTTTTCCATAAAGTGGGATTAAGCAACCAGCCAATTTTATTGTTTAACTCAGCATTTGCACTTCATTTATCAACATTATTTTTATTCCTGCCATCTATTTCCAGGTGCAAAGGAAATTGATGCCCTTGGACTATGGGGAAATTACTCCATCCCTAAAGATAATCCATTTTCTGAAGACAAGGAGTTGCAGCCTGAGATTTGGGCCCTGGGATTTAGAAATCCTTGGCGCTGCAGTTTTGATTCAGAAAGGCCTTCATACTTTCTCTGTGCAGATGTCGGCCAGGTAGAGAGAATCTCTTTCTTGTTGTCTTTGACATTTCTTTATCTTTTGCTATGTATCTTTCTTGCTACTGTATAATGGATTTCAATTTATATTTATTTACTTGCAGGATCGATACGAAGAGGTGGATATTATCACAAAGGGTGGAAACTATGGATGGCGTGTTTATGAGGGCCCCTATCTTTACAATCCTCCAAAATCTCCTGGAGGAAATACGTCTGTGAATTCAATAACTCCTATCTTCCCTGTAATGGGATATGATCACTCTGCTATAGATAAGAATGTAGGATCTGCATCAATTACTGGTGGCTACTTCTATAGGGCCATGACTGATCCATGCATATATGGAAGGTGAGTAGGATTGGTTTCAACTTGTTTGAAAAATGACATTTCTTTAGTTTCTAGTTCATTTGTGCACAGAAACTGAAATTTCCCTATTAACCATCCTAAACTTGAATTGAATTTCAGTTATCTGTATGCGGATCTATATGCTGGTAATATGTGGGCTGGTAGTGAGACCCCAGAGAACAGTGGGAACTTCACTACCCACCTTATATCTTTCAATTGTGCTCGTGACTCTCCAATCCAATGCACTGCTGGATCAGGAAGCGCTTTGCCTGCTTTGGGTTACATATTCTCATTTGGTGAGGATAACAAAAAAGATGTCTACATATTAGCCAGCAGCGGGGTTTACAGAGTTGTTCGTCCAAGTCGCTGCGGTTACACATGCTCGGAGGAAAATTCTACAGCTCCTGGAACTTCTCCAACCCCTTCATCTGGGAGTTGGTTGGTTGTCCCATTCAACAATCTGGTGCAGTTCTGTTGTTCATTGTTGGTTGTACTGGGTCTTGTATTGTGAGCTCAAGTTAGGTTGTTGATTTGTTCTCCAGTTGTAACAGTGTCATATCATCTACTCAACTCAACTAAACTCGGCCTTAATCCCAATATTTGGGATCAGCTACATCATGAATCTTGTCTCAATTTTTGCCTTTCAAGAGCCATGTTTTGTGTCAAGTTACAAGACCTTGGATCATTTTTTTAATTAATTCAAACCATGTTTCCTTTGGTCTTTCCTTTGCTCTTTTAGGGCCTTCTCCTACTCGCACCAATACATTAACTTCGTCTTATCACCAAGGTCTCTATTTTTGGATTACTTTTTAGTGTAGAGTGCCAAGTTCTCTCTTCTCTGTTCACCTGCACAATTCTTCCTAAGTGTAGCGTGGCCCAAGGCCCTCAAGCCAAGGAGGTCCTTGGTACCACACTACTTTTGCACGTGAGAACGGACGGTTAATATGTCGTTTTTTTGAACATGAAAATGGATAAACAAGTACTTCTAAAAATCACAGAAAAAAGTTGGTATTTAGAAGAAAAACAAAAAAAAAAAATCAATTGGGTATGATACTGGAATGAAAATTATACATTTTTTTTTTTGATAAGGAATGAAAACCATACTTGGACCGATTAGATATAACCCAAAATAATGCTTGATTTGGACTTGGACTGACTTATCTCAATTGGAAATGTTATAGTAATCATTCGTCTTCAATTTCACTTGATAAAGCAATGTATATTGCATGGGTCCAAGTCCCAACTAGTTTCTACTAATAAAAGTTAGGGTAGTTTGATTGTAGTTACCTGCACTAGTTGCTTCAAGGCTCTATTTTCACTTACCTTATTCGGGCAAGTTGGATTATAACCAGCTGGGTATGGCTAAAGAAGCTTATCGCCTGTTCTGGAGCATGAGGAAAATGGGAGTTGAGCCTAATGCCGTAAGCTATGACACCCTTTTGAAGGTCACGGTCGTGAAGCCGAGCTCTTTGGTGAAGCTATTCTCCTTTTTCGTTCGATGCAGAGCAAGGATATCGAGCAGAATGTTGTCACTTACCCACAATAATTATGATTTACGGGAAGTCCCTAGAGCACGAGAAATCCACCAACCTTGTCCAAGAAATGCAAAGTAGAGGCCTAGAGAGATTCAGCCAAATTTTGTTACATACTCAACAATTATCTCGATATGGGGAAAGGCAAGGAAATTGGATAGGGCAACGGTGTTATTTCAAAAGCCGAGAAGCTCTGGAGTGGAATGGAGATTGATCAGGTCCTTTACCAGACAATGATTGTGGCTTACAAGAGAGCAGGTTTAGTGGGACATGCCAAGCGTTTGCTCCACGAACTAAACGCCCAGACAGTATTCCTAGGGAGACAGCTATTACCGTACTTGCAGGAGATGGTCGGATTGAAGAGGTTACCTGGGTTTTTCATCAGGCTTATGATGCTGGGTAGGTTAAGGATAATCCGTTTCTCAATGCATGATTGATCCCTTCTCAAGAAATAGAAAGCATGCAAATGCCGTTGAGGTGTTTGAGAAAATGAGAGTAGCTGGATATTTTCCAGCTTCTAATATAATTGCTCTTGTAGTTGTACTGAATGCTTGTTGAGAAGTTTCGGTAGTTGGATAAAGTAGATGCTGTTTTGTAAGGAGTTGCAGGATGAGGGTTGTGTTTCAGATGAAATTCATTTCCAAATGCCAAGACTTTGTGGCACACGAGGGGATTTTAGGACAGTCAGTTCACTGCTTGAAAGGTTTGATTCCGACCCTAACATTAATAGGAAAGAATTGCATCTTGTTATTGCTACGTGCCAACATTTTTGAAAGAGCAAACAGACTGGATGATGCATCTCGAATTATCAATTGGATGAGGAAAAGGGAAATCTCAAATTTATTATGACCATAGAGGCAAAGAACTTGGCCCTTATAATGGCTAAAATTCAAGCATACTGTTGTAAATTCTATGGCCTTAAATTGATTCTTTTGTAAATTTTTGTTTTGATAAATTACCCTTACTATAAAAGGTCTTATAGTTTAATTGTCTGCTTAGTGCAGCAAAGTATATACTTGGGCTTGCATTAACTTTCTTAAGTATTGTAACTAAGCTTTTGTTAAGGAGAAAAAGGAAAGAATGTAGTGTATATCTATTTGATCAACCATTCCATATTCAGAAGCTCTTCTCATTTTCTTGCTGTAAGAAGTGTTTGAAAAGAAATGTTTATTTTTTATTATTTTTTTATTTTTTTGGTTTTATATAACCATCTTTTGGAAGATGTAATATTACTCAACAGGTAGGAAAGAGGTCTATATGAATTCCATATTTTATAAGTTGAAGTCTACTGGACTTGTGGTAATGGCTTTTGCTATTATATTATTTAGGTTATAAGAAACTTATTTTATTCTCTTAATTTTTTGTTCACTTATATAGGGAAATTACTATTCCATCCTTAATCTATGTATTATTCACATACCTTTTTTTTTGTTTTGAATTTTCAACTTTTCATTTTTATTCATTACTTTACCCTGTCTGACCTGTGGTATTATCTCCCATTTGTGAGACCCTATCTTGAAGACTTGAACAACCATTTTGTAAGCTATACATTCCAGATGTTGGAGATGCCAAATTGCCAATAATATTGAAATTAATCCTCATTGTGTAATTTCCCTTCATCAAATGAAACAAGTAAATCTTACCTTTTTTCTTTTTTTGATAAATAAGCAAATCTTACCATTCCACTGCAAGTTTTTCAGTATACCGAGGCTCGAAGAGACCATATCCTTGTCGTCCCTCATGAATGGCTCAATGTAGCATGGTGGTTTTAAATGTCCAGACATCTACCTGGGAATGACTTGGCAGTGGAGGTTTTTAATCAGTTAATTAAAATTACTGAGCTTCATAACAGAAAATTTTATTAGTGATGACTCAACTGGGTTTTCAGATGGCCTCAAATCTGATGCTTTCACACTGATGCAACATTAGTGCTTCTGTGTTATGATCTATGTAAAAAGGTCTGTGATACCTTCTAGTTGGCACTATGACAAAAATGCAGGTGTAAACTTGTATTACCTATGACTCTTTCAAACTTCAGCTCTCACTGTCAGATGGTTGGCAGGTAGTCCAACTGCTGGAGCATTAATGTTCAAGCTAGCACTTTCAGCACAGACCTTTGTTGGTGGCGGTTGACCATATTCATCATGCTACAGACAATGCTATGAAATTAGATCTGGATACTAATATCGGACAGGATTTTATTTTCCTGGAGTCTGAATTGGCGATTGTCATTGATCCCTCAAGTACTAGATGCAGTTTATCAATGCAATGTAGTTCATTTTCATTAAACCAAGTTGCAACTTTTTACCTTCTTTGTGCACTCTTGTAAATGAGATTACTTTTATTCTGTGGAGTTGATTCTTTTGATAGGCTGTAATAGGTGAGATTCCTATATTATGGTGTGTAGTCTTACTTTGGTAACTTTTTTTAACCCCCCTCCCAAGGAAAAGAAAAGGTTGGATCCACCTAACCCAATTTTACCCAACAAAAAGAAAGAAAAAGGACAGAAAAGAGAAGTGAAAGCTTGAGCAAATGGAGAAGCTATGATCTTGCTAGTTTTTATTGACAACAGCCTTGTGCTTATAAAGGAGCTTGGAGAAAGCAATAAACTTTTCCTTTTTCTTACATTAATTATGCCTTTCTTCCTCATACAGTTTTGCTTTTCCAAATATACCTACATATATCTGATAAGCCCTTCTTTAATTCCTTTTATTTTTTACCTGGGATGCATTTATTTCTCCCTAGGATGGACCTAAATTTTTCAAGACTAAAACTATTTCAGTTATTATTATTGCTCCTTTTACATCAAACCCTTTTTTTCACTCCTTTTAATTTATTTCGATGTAAATGACAAAGAAAACAAATTTTCATCATTAAAGAGGTGGAAATATATCTCAAGGGTTTGATTATGATTCCGGAAAACTTATTATAACCAATCAACCATCATAAAAGTGATATCCAATCAGGTGGATTTTCTTCAAAACACACCAAGGGTGATTGGTCAAAGTCTTTCTGGTATATACATATATATATATATTATTATATTTTCAGTCTGTAAAATCTTTGTCACATTTCTTCCTCTTTTATAGTTCTGTCCCAACAGCTCCCATCTAAGAGAGATGATCCTGACCGTCTGATCTCTTGATCCTGGGTGTTGACTTAACGCAACCCCCAGGGCCCCAGTCATCTCCTTTTTTTATTAAAGTATTTATGAAATTGAAGAACTACTCAACTCCCCAGTCCTCTCCCTCCCTCAATCCTGACTTGTTAGTCACGCGTGTGAAAAAAGATATCCCAACGACTTATTATCACGTGCAAGACTACACGGATGAGATGGGACCCACGGTAATAATAAGACATAGAAAACACATAAATTGAACTGAGCCCGGATCTGCAGCCCACGTTTTTTGCAGCCATAGAACATCTCATCCTCTCTATAGTATTATAGAGTGAGAAATGTTTTCAATTCACGGGGATTGTATATTGTGGGTTGCGTGGGCAGGAGATCCGGAGTCTTCCGTTGCATTGCATTCTTAGCTGATGCCTGATGTCTTTTTCTGTGGGATCCACTCCCCCGCCTTCCCGGCCCCACCTCTCTTTGTATGGTTAATGTATCATTGTCATACAATACAAGTATACGTAGTAGACGGTGATCCTTTTGTCATCACTTATCAGATCGACGACCCGATCGGCTTTGAATTTGAAGAGATTCATTTTGTTGGATAGGTGGGACCAATTATCATCTACCCATCAATATAATCTACCAATCGATCAAACCAGTTGTACGTGTACGGCATCACGCAACGCAAAGAGTTCCTTAATAAAAAATTTGAATTCAAAGAAAAAAAAAATATTTTATTAAATAAAGAAAATGGGTTTTCCCTTCATTAGGGGGGAAGCGTGGAAGCGTAGTCACTCCGGACGACTGCAGTAGCTCCAGAGATAAGAGAGGTAAAGAGACACAAACACTCGAAATTCCTCAATTTTTCTCCTCTTCTCCTTCAGCACCAATTGAAGTTCTTCAGCTCTTACCCTCACGGACGGATCAGCTTCTAATTCATAGCGAATCTGTTGCAGAAATCTCTCTCTCTCTCTCTCTCTCTCTAAAACAGAAGGGGAGAGGCGCAGGAATGCAATGAAGAGATTGAAGAGCTACTTGAACACGAGGCAATCGCCAAACATGGAAAGAAAATGGATTTTCCCCTTGGCCATAGGTTCTTTAGTCTCGCTCTTCCTTCTATTCCTCACAACGTTGACGTCTACAGATGGGTTCTTATATTTCCCGCTCTATCGCTCCTCCACGGCCTCTAATGCTATCTTCGTCGAGTCCAGGCTCCATCCTTTATCAGTCTCCTCCCTCCCTCCCCCTCCTCGTTTTGCCTACCTTATCTCAGGCACTGTTGGAGATGGCGAAATGGTCAAGCGTACCCTCCAAGCTCTCTACCATCCTCACAACCGCTACGTTGTTCATCTCGACCTCGAGTCCCCTCCCAAAGAACGACTCGATCTCCACGATTACGTTAAGAATCATCCCGTTTTTTCTTCCGTCGGCAATGTTTGGGTGATTACCAAGGCCAATCTGGTTACCTACAGGGGCCCTACCATGGTCGCCAACACGCTTCACGCTGCTGCCATCTTGTTGAAGGAGGGCGGCGATTGGGATTGGTTCATCAATCTCAGTGCCTCTGATTACCCACTCGTTACTCAGGACGGTCAGTTTGTTGTTTTCCGCTTCGACGTTTTGAGGGTTTTGATTTTTTGTAGTTCTATTTTATTAAACATTTTATTTGATTAGTTGATTGATTCTTGGTTTTGGGTGATTAGATCTGCTGCACACATTCTCTTATTTGCCACGGGATCTCAATTTCATCGATCATACGAGTAATATCGGGTGGAAGGAGTACGCTAATCTCCCTTCCTTTTTTTTATCTTAAAAAAATCTATTTTTGCTTTGAAGGTTGGGAATTTGGATGTGATTTATTTCATTCTTGCGTAGGTACCAACGGGCAAAGCCAATTATCATAGATCCCGGGCTTTACATGACGAAGAAAGTTGACATCTTCTGGGTTACCCAAAGGCGAAGCGTTCCAACTGCCTTCAAACTCTTTACAGGTTTAATGCTGAACTTGTTTATTTTTTGTTTTGATTTTTTTTCGCTTCTTATGCCATTGCAACTACAGGTAGTTCTTCTTATCCTGTTTTCTTCTGGTTTGCCTTTATCAAATTACTTCATCCGCAGTCATCTTGTTCCATGAGTTTAGACGTTCTGATGTGACTTTCCAGCTAATTTATTTTTTCCCCGTCTGTTGTTTAATTTTATTTGGAAATGACTTTAAACTATTATCTGCTTCTCATTACCATGTGGATTCCATATAATTTATTCCAATTTGTGCTTATGATCTCCATGTGGTATCTCATCTACAAGTTAATTCTATACTGTTTTGCCTAAATGCTTCAATATGCCAAAGATACCTCTAGTGTATAATTTGGTCGGACCTAATATTCTCTATGAATCTGCAATCAGTTTTTTTCCTTTTCCACATGAAATAGGTGAAGAATTTTGGAAATTATTGAACTGGAAATTGTAAATCTTTCCGTAAATGAGGACAAAAAGTAGACATGAATTATTAAAGAAAGGAATATTCCAGACCAAGTAATATCCATTTGCATCACTGATGTCAACTTCTTTTACTAGAAAATTGGAGTTACATTCTCTAGAAACTGCACAGAATATGCAATCCAAAATTAGAGAATCACTTTATAAATTTCTTTCTCAGCTAGGGTAGAAATTTGTTGAGAGGAAATTAACCTGAGGAAAGTGTGCTTCACTAATCTTGCAAACAATCTCATATTTTTTGAGAAAAAGTAACTCTCGTTAAGCAATATACAAAGAAGCCCCTATCTACCCCAGCTTTATCTAAAGAATCAGCCACGGTGTTCAGCACCCTGGTTCCTATCTGAAGGAATAGGAAAGATGTGCAAGGTACACATAACCATGGATGAAATTTGTTAAAATATGTAATGTCACAAACTGTCATTGAACTTAAATTGCTTTCCATGTAAAAGTATTCATTGAATTACTTATCGGAAAAGGTATTTCTTTGAATTTCCCAGTGTACATGATTTTAAATTCATAGGTTCAGTATAGCTCTGAAGGTATAGATACATTTTAATTACTAATTAGTCAAGTGGATTGCAAAGATGATAGGCTATTGGTATCAAAAGAAATAGCTTATTAATTCGTAATGGTATCAATTATATATTTCAAAATTTACACCAAGGTGATGATTTTTTATTTAACATGTGAATCTTTATGGTATTGAAGATCACTTTGCCACCTGCTGTACAAACGTTTTAAGGAAATTCTTAAACATTGTGATTGATTCCCATAAAAGGAAAAAAAAATCTCAAATATTGTGAGATTGACCTTCTTCAAGAGTTAATAGGGGTGCAACTTGGGCAGGCCCAGCCCGAAATTTTACACGGGCTCGGCATAGGCCCAAGAAATCGGGCTTTTTTATTTTTGGGCTGGGCTCAGGCCTAGCCCCTAGGTAGCCCGAACCCAGCCCACACATAATTTTAGAGTGGGTTCATTAACCAACCCGAGCCCGGCCCGGGCCTGACCCAACCTGAGTGCATCAAATTAAAGTGTGGGCTGGGCTCGGGTTGGGAAAATCGGGCTTGACCTCGGGCTTGGGCCTTAAGCCCAAATTTTAGGGTCAGACCCGGGTTGACCATAAACCTGGCCCAACCTGCCCGATTTGCACTCCTAAGAGTTAACCATTACTTCTTAATATGTTCTTGATAATGTTTGTACCTTTTTTTGTTGAATATTTTGTACTTTCTTATTCGGTAGGTTGATTTATTGCCCACCATATATTGAATCTAAGTGGCAATATATATTGTGTGGGTGCTTTCTTGTCCCAAAAATTGTAATTTTGTGGGGGAAGGGGCAAGTTTGTAGAGTTCTATTTTGAAAAAAAAAAAGTAGCAAAATTACCCTTTCATGTTGGATTCAGTACCCTATGTGAATAGGGTTTGGGAAGGTTGGGTTCGGACTGAGCTTCAACCAAGAGATCTAACCTGCCAACCTGTTAAGGATCCATTTAAATAAAATTAAGTGGGTTGGTTTCAAACCAAACCTGCCTTGACCCAATTCAACCCGCCTAACCTTTTAACCTTGTAACAACTTTAGTTTTATGAAAATGGCTTGAAAGTTAAAACCAACTTATTTTTAATAACTTGGTTAGACATGGCTTAATGGTAAAAATGCTTGTTTCTCACATAGGTGTTCTAGGTTCAAATCACATCACTTGCACATTTTTACATGGGGAATTTAAGTGGAGTTAATTATTTGGATTAGCAATTAATGAAAGTTAATGGTTTAGTTAATTGATTTGAATCTAAATGGAAGGATAATGGGAATTAGTGAGATATGATTAAGTTCAAACTTCAAAGAGAAAGAGGATAGAGAATAAAGAGTGTGTAGGGTTGTGTTTTCAACCCACAGTTGAACTGGCCAACCAGATCTGTTAATGGTGTGGAAAACGGATTGGACCAGACTAGCCTTTTTTCTCTTATAAGCAGCAGACTGGACTAGCTGATTTTGTCAAGACCTTTGTAAATTTGTCAGTTGAACTGGTTTTGGACTGGATCAGATTGCTAAACCATTCAACTAGATTAGGCTTGTGCTAATTTGGGTCAGGTATGCGGTAAACCATTACTATGCCAAATGTGACTGCTACCACCTCTACTCTACTTGGAATTAATTACAGCAATTGGTTACAGGTTGAGTAAATGCTAGGTATTAGTATTTTAATGGAAATTGATTACAGCAATTGATTATAGTTCTTGTATTTGCTGTTAGGGGAGGCGGCATCTCGCGCCTTTAAAGGGATTTTCTTGTATCCAATCATTATTTTAATGGAAATGAATTTATTTATCAAAAAAATGCTAGGTATTAGTAGTTTGACTTAATAATTATTTTCATTTTTCAGCAATTAATAATAATTTAATGCATTAATTATGGATTGGGAATTAATTACAGTAATTATGGCTTAAGTCAATGAGTTACTTGAATTTTAATGAAGGGACAATGGGAATTAATGAGAAAATGGCTAGGCAATTTATTCATAAGCAGTTAACCTGGTGGATACCCACAACCTGATCCAACAGAGCCCATTTAAGATGACCCAATGGGTGATTCAATCCATTTCCAACCCGCCAAGTAAATGAGTGGATAGGTGAAGTGTACAGTACACATAAAGGAAAGAAGATCTTCAGGTTAAACTTAATCTTTGAAATCATTGGCATAATCTTAAGGAGAAGTCCATCATTTCTTATTGAAGAATACACAATAGATATTTTTCAAAAGAGATTGATGGGTATGGTGTTTTTTCTGGTCCTTAAAGGAGAATATCTTGACTTGTTCACTATGGTGTTCAAAGGAGGAATATCTTGACTTGTTTACTGTGGTGTTCAACCTCCATGCAAGGTTGATTTCAGGTCTAAGTCTTCGTTTTTGTTGGCCTACCTAAATCTTCCTTACTGTACATCTATTTGGTGTTGGAGGTAGGCTCTTGCACACTACTGAGTTTCCTTGATTTTGTAATATGACAAAATCAGGTGGGATCCATAGGTTGCATCTACTGGGTTCTTTTTTAAGTATGTTTGAATAATATTGCTGAGCCAGTTACTGGTGGGCATTCATGAGCTCTAAGTTTTCCTGGACTGTGAACATCCCAAATTAAGATCAAGATGCCATTCTTAAGGTGATCTGATATGGATGCTTTTTAGTTTTAAGGCTTCCTGAGCTGGTTTATTCTGCCATATATCCATTGATTCAAAATGTGATGTTATGTTTTATTAGGTCATGTTGATTTTCTGAATGTTTCTAGCTGTAGGTCCATACCAGTGTATGATCTGGTGTGGCACTGGTGCCATGAGGAATGTAGATAATTTTCTGGACTTTCCCCTGCTCAGTGCCTTAATTGTGAAGTATGGTGGCGACTGAAGTTGTTGCAGTCATCATGTTGTCCATGGCATGATGCTGATAAAAAGAATGATGACCTGAGGAATATGTATTGAAGAATGTTGACCATTAAAGTCCTTGTAATATCAAGCATGTAAGTAGTACCCCCAGTAATTCTTGCACCGAACAGACAGTATAATCACTTACAAGAATTCTTTTAGAAAACTCTTGCAATATCAAACACATAAGCACCCCTTGTAACATTGTTCATGTACAGTTCTTTTACATAGCTAAAGGTTTGTACTTTCTCATTTTATCTTAATACAATACCTACATTACTTGCAGAATTAAATAGAAACTGGATGATGCAAGTGGGGAAAAAAGTTGTAGTAATCCCATCATTTTTGTTCAGCATAATTTTCAAGGGTCAAAACTTGTCCATTTTGCATGGATTAGAACATTAGGTGGCAATTGGAGGTTTATTGAGTTTCTAAATTTTTGGTGTATCTTGGTGTTCTCTCTCTCTCTCTCTCTCATAAAGTTAGTGATAAGTCATTGGAGTAGGTTTAGGAGTTGGATTCAAATATTCCATATTTGAGTGTCCCAATAAGTTATACAGGGGTTTTCCTTAGTTTTAAGGTAATTAAGAGCTAATTTTGGTCAATTTCCTAGTTAAAAGCACTGATATCATTAAAAAATTTAGTTTACTGAATTCTGGCTGTAGCAACATCTCTCTCTCTCTCTCTCTCTCCTCTTCTATTCTAATGTAAAAGGTTCTTTCACTCCATCGTGGACAACACTTGCTTCTCCTTATGTATTCTTCATCATTAGTCGCTGGAATCACCTTTCTTGCCCCTAAAAAGTCCACCACTAGATCTAAATTATTGAACCCCTACTTGTCCACAGGACCCCATCCCCACCTTAGCTATTTCTGCAAGATTGGCATGGTCAACAATCATAGTGTCAGAATTGCTTGTAGGATCACATAGCTACCTTAATTTAAAAGACCAATTTTTTATAAGGCAATGCAGGTGAGGGCGTGAGGCATAGTGAAGATGTGTCAAGGTATATGACATAAATACGCATGTGGCGTATGCCTCAGTTATAGAGGCATGCACATTGCTTTTTGCCTCATATATGGCAAATGGCGTATGCCCTTGTTATGATTTATAGAGTAACGTCTACACTTTGCATGCTTTGTACTTAAGACCATTTTAGCATTAAAAACTATAAAGTGAACTGGGACTACCATTATATTATGCTTCTTGTTATAATGTAACAATCTTGTAATTTGTAAAGGAGGAATTCCCTCCAAATAATCCTCATTTGTAAAGAGACGGAGAAAAAAAGAAGCAGCAGAGGGTTTTCTCTTCTAGCTCCAATCTTGTCCTATCATTTAACCCTTTACCTTCAATCTAGACAAATTTGACTTTCTATTCTAGCTCCAATCATGGTCTTTTCAACATAATGAGGTCACTTTGAGAACAAGCTTCCCTGTTATCCTGAACTGAGGACGCCAAATTTCACTACTGGAAGAAAAAATTCTATAATTCGTAAATTGGGCTATCTTCTAATAATTATATTTGGAGCTGCCTTAACTTTTGTGTTGTCAAATGAGATAAACTGCATGCTTTCTTAATTGAGATATTGTTGCGTAACATTGACATCAATGGGATAACATGATCATTCAGAACAAGAAATAGGAAATGCACGAGTACTTCTTTTGAAATGCTCACACTGGAATTGTTAAGGCTTACCTATAATCTGATGACTGATGGTCTGTTCTATATAGACATTGGCGAATAAGCAATCACGTGTTTTCTTAATTGCTCATCACATTTAATTTGTGCTTCTATGTTTTATGTTGGCAGGTTCTGCCTGGATGGCACTTTCTAGGTCCTTCATTGACTTCTGCATATGGGGATGGGACAACCTACCACGAACTGTTCTCATGTACTATGCAAACTTCATCTCCTCCCCGGAAGGCTACTTTCATACTGTCATCTGTAATGCTCAGGAATTTCGCAACACCACTGTTAACAGTGATCTGCATTTCATATCATGGGACAATCCCCCCAAGCAGCATCCGCACCTCCTCACCCTCAATGACATGTCAAGGATGACCAACAGCAATGCCCCATTTGCCAGAAAATTCCATAGAAACGACCCAGTCCTTGACAAGATAGATGCTGAACTTTTGTCCCGAGAGCCCGGGATGCTTGTTCCAGGTGGGTGGTGCATTGGAAGCAAGGAAAATGGGAGTGACCCATGCTTGGTTGTCGGAAACACCAAAATCCTCAGGCCAGGTCCTGGTGCTAAAAGGCTTGAAACTCTAATTGCCTCTTTATTATCAAATGACAACTTCCGGCCAAGGCAGTGCAAGTAAGAGCTCATATCAGGAAAAACATTTAGTGTCAACTTATCAAAGTTGACATCACATTGATGTAACCATTGTCATCAGGTAATTAGTATGTTCATGTGATAACATCAAACAACCCATACTTGATCTTACAGACTGTCAAGTTGGTTGGCACCAATGCGGCGGACTTCGGTATACGCAGAAGGATGGAGAACTGGGACTGTAGGTACTAAAAGTATTCACCTTGTTCTGCCGAATTGGTCTTGTTTCCAAGTAGCCCATTTTTGTTTTATCTGACCCCCATGAATATATAATAGAACCAAGATCAGAACAATTTGTGTTTATACTCGCCGAAGCTCAGGCATGTTGATGGGAGTTTGTGCAGTTTTATGAAAAAAGAAATGATGATAGATGAAGGAAAATTTAAGTACTTTCTCGATATCATTTGTCTTTCCAATCTTTTGTGTTCATATTGCCCTTTTTTCCCCCTTCTATCCCCTTTTTATTTGATTCTCCAAAAAACATGATGGGTATCTTGATCTTGGGAGTCCAATTCTGCTTACCCACAAGCAAACACGACGGTCATTCATGGGTAGATGTGCACAATGTTATAAAAACCGATCTGGAGGCCGAACTGTTTTTGCCTCCGGGTTGTGGGTCACTACTGGTTTGACAGCATAAGAAAGAGATTATGGGCGTGGAACCGAAGGCCGAACTGTACAACTATTAATTTACAAAAGATGGTTGGGGCATGGAAGGTTGTCTTGACTGGAGATGAAGAGCTTATGGGCGTAAGAAAGAGACCAGCCTCCACAGCGCGAATTGGGTTGAGCAAATCTCGGATACACAAAGTTTGTGTATTCAATTCAATTAAGCATTGGGTCCATCTGTACAGGCGGAAGGCTGAAGCTCTGATTGAGCTGTTTTCACCTTTCTGGTTTAATGGTTCGACTGTCTGGTTCAAATGGAATGTTCATTCTGACAAAATTAAAAAAATAATTAAAAATAAGAAAATGGCAAAAAACCATTGAATAGGTTGACGGTTTGACAGTCAGGGTCAATGGGTTATTGACTTTTTTAACAGTCCGACATCCGAATCAACCGCAGTTCAAAAACCATAGTTTTCAGTATGGAGTCGCTTAGAACAATTTACTGAAACGAGTTTCATCGTAGAGACAATTTTTTTGGCTGAGTGACAAATGTGTGGGCTTTTTGGTTTTTTTTTTTTTACCGAACATAACTTATAGACCATTAGACTGCTGCATGAAAGTCTTCCCAAACAAGCACTAAGCCAATGGGAGTATGGGACGGGCTGGGAGAAAGTCTTTGGCGGTCAACAAGGCTTTGTTAATTCACCGAGTAATGCACCCAAGGTTCAAAATTTCGTCACGTATCGGCTCGAATTGGCCAATACGTACCGTATCTTAAGGCTTCCGGCATGGGGAACAGTTCGAAATCAATCGTACCATTCCTTTTCGTCGTGCCGAAGGTGTATCAACGCCGTATCAGTGTTGTATCGATGAGTTTCGGTCGTGTATCAGCCGATACGCTACCGACAGTCGATACACAACGATTTTACTGTTGTTTAAACACAAATAGAAGTGATTTCGAAAGAGGGCTTCTAAACCCATTTCAGAAGCCCTCTTTCTTTCTCAAACCCTCCAAAAAGCTTTTTAACCTTTCTAAAGACTCAAATCTTGTAAAAAGTTTGCCAAAAACATTTATAAATTTGCAAGATGCCATGATTCAATAAGTTTTTCAAGGTTGTGTAAAAAGGAGTGAAAATAAATATGTTTTTACATTTTTTTAATATAAAAGATTTTTATTAAAGATAAAGAAAAAAATGAAATCCCCCCTTCCTCCTTCCTCCTCTTAAGGAAGCTTACGCCTCTTGAGTTTTGAATTATACTTCATGTTTCTAGGTAGTGGAACACGTCTGTGTTTTAAAACATTGAATCATTAATATTTTTTTTTTTAATTTTAGTTTACTTTTAGAATAAAATATACAAAATAATTATTTCATCTATTGTGTCCATAAATCCATTCAATTTTTTGCTACATATTTACTTTTCTTAATTTTGATTTAATTTTTAGAATAAAACATGCAAAATAATTATTTGAATAAAAATAAATAATTATTTAGTTTTTAGAAAATTAAAATAAAACATGCAAAATAGTTATTTGATCTATTATGTCCATAATTAGATATTATGTTTCTGTTCCCGACTTCCCGTTTATTGATTATAATATGTTTTTTTCATAAAACCCACTAAAACGTGCTATTTTTATGCATAAGTAACTCATTTATGTCTTATATTTAGTGATATTGATGTTTATTTATGATTTATTAGAGTATTTATAGCATTTTTCATGTGTTTCCATGTATATCTTAAGTTTTCATCCGTATCCATACATATCTAAGATGTATCTCGATACGTCTCTTAAATTTACCTTTCCAATACGCAAAACCTTGAATGGAGTTGATAGTCTTAGAAAGAGTCTTGTTAAACTAACGTGTCATGTGGGGAAAACTCTGTCAATATCTCAAGCTGTGGAATTTAGACAACTCCATTTAGACTTTAATTATAATATATGTGTAAAGGGTTGAAAAATAAGTTGATGTTATATAATAAATATTAACTTTTATGATCTATACTGAATAAATATAGTATAAATATTATAGAAAGTCAGACACAATCTATGGATTCAATATAGTGACAAATGAACATGAGTCTTGTAGTCAATTTATCAGTTGACCAATTTATCCCCATTAAATACGGTAAACGAAGGGGGTTAAATGTAAACTAGATCATACCTTATTGATGATTTGTACTGGTCAAAATCCGTTTGAATATATAACAATACAACATCTAAGCTTTTCTTTTATAATTATTACTTCATCTTCCTGAACTGGAAACTATGTTAGTCTCATCATGGTTTTAAAATGTGACCCAGAAATGGAATTGTTCTGGTCACCAGTTTGCGGGTCGATGATTTGAATGGATAGTCTGTTTTGATAAAAAAAAAAATTAAAAATAAAAAACAGCTAAAATCATTAAACAGGTCGATGGTTTGACCGTCTAAGTCAACGGATTGTTAACTTTTTTAACAACTTTTAGCCAAAGACCGAATTTAAGGTAAATCAGAACCAATTGCTTGAACGGTTTTTAAGCTAACGGCGGTTCAAAAACCACGAGTCTCATCATATAATTTGTATCTAATCCCTGTTCCCTTGGACAATTAATGTTCAGTTATCAATTTTCTCCATTCTCTTGTAACTTTCCATTAGTTTGTTTTATCTTTCTTACTTTGACGAGTGAAAAGAAAACATGAGCGTATTGAAAGTTTGAGTGCCATTACAGTCTTTGGTCATTATCTTCACCCTTAATTGCGGGAAGACGAGGTCCAAAGAAAGACTTCTCAGTATGGCAAGACTTGCTTACCGAAAAAGAAAAATAAATGGTAGGTAGGGAAAATAGTTTAAAATGTAGACAGACAGTCAAGAGCCTAACTAGAAAAAAAGAACCGAGAACTACTATGTATTTATCATCTGGTATATTCACGAGAGTTGCAATCGTCTACAGAATACTACTAGTAACTGGGTCAATTAATCATATACACCATGTCAGCCCTACACACGTGGGGTCCACTATTAAGCTGACGTGGTGTGTTACAATTGGCCCAGTATCCGGTTCCCATGGAAGATTTCTGGGCACATTGGTCAAAACTTATGAGCCACAATTTTCTTTTTCTTTTTTTTTTTTTTCTGACCAAACCCAAGTCACGAGGCTGTGTTCGTGTTCACACCGTGGTCATCTCGTGGATGGCCCATTTTGGTCTACACCATGGGATGAGTCCGGATCGCCTGCCCATGTTTATCGCAGTCACACATGGAGAACATTTCATCATCTGCATAGTATTATGCAGGGGGTGATGTTCCCAATTCACGGGGAGTAGTGTGTTATGGGTAGATGTGGGCAAGGTTCTTGTGGATAGGAGATCCGGACTGCCACAATGTTTGGTTTGTCATGAACGGGGCCTATTGTGGACCAGTCCAGTCCACAACCCAAAATCTTGTTCACTCATTTTTCTCGTGGCTGAGTTTGGCCCTAAGTGTTTTGATAATTTATTTTTCTCACTCATTGATATGATACATCGCACATTTCTCTTTACTCTACAATAGCTCTTCAAGTTCTTTTTCACTAACTAGTAGGTGGTCTAATGGACCAATATTTTGATGCTATGTTTGTCTGTCATATTTTATTAGTTTGCATAAATAATTTGATGCTATGATTGTCTTGTAATTTGTTATTTTGTTTGCTTTATTAATTTTTTAATATTTTTATCAATAAAATAAGTTTTCATTTTTAATTATTTTATTACCATTTTTTGTTAAAATTAATATTTAATTGTCGATGTTTTCTTAATTTATTTATAATATAAATTATAAAAATTAAACATTTTATGATTGATTGTGTAGATTACTTCATAACTTTACATCAAATACATAAAATAAAAAGTGTAGATCGATCACACCTACAAAATGCCACTGTGGGTGTGGAATGGACCACTGCACAGAGTCTCTCCACATTTTAGAACACCTGTGGAGTGTTGTGGTGAGGGTTTGTCCCTACTATAGTGGTTCCACACCCACCAATTTTTCATCCATACTGTAAACTACCCCCTAAATAACAATTTCTTTGGATTATGGTGTAGTAAAATTCAATTTTGCCTCTTTTGGCATGGGCATAGAGTGCTTCAAGGAATCAAACATGAGAGCATCATTCAGCAACAAATTTAAGAGCTTTCCTTCAACTTTCTATTTATATTTTATTTTTCTCAAAACCAAATTAAAATGAAATTTCAACTTATTAAGGAAGTTTGGCAAGTTTTTATGGCAAGCTAAAAAGATTGAAAATTGGTCTTTTTTCATTTGATAATCAAAAGTTGAAAGACCAAAAGACATGTATGGAAAGACCCAAAAAGACAAAAAAAACAAATTTTGGAAAGCAAGCCTTTTGGTCTTTTTGCATGATAAATAGCCTTTAAACATGTATTAAAAAACCCAGTAGACTGAACAGTTTATCAAACGGTCTTTGTCTTTAGGCCCATTCATTTTTTGGTAAGTTACTTATCCGGGTAAATGCAATTGCTTGGGTAAGTTTTTCCTATCTGGATAAGTGCATTTTACCATGGTTTTCAAAACTGTGCCTGATCGGACGGTTGAACCAAAAAAACTGGATATTTGCAAAAAAATGTTGATTTGGTCAACAACCGCTGACCCAGGCAGTTGAACCATTCGAACCATTCAACGGTTTTGACCTTTTTTTTTGCCAAAATGGGCCAACTGTTCAGTTTGAACGGTCAGACCGTTTGACTTGAGAGTCGGACCCTTGACTAGTTCGTTCTCTGGGTCAGTTTTATTTACCCATGTTCTTTTA